GAGAAGGGATGGAGGAAAAGGGAGAAATGGAGAGAGAGGAAAGAGAGGTGGGGGGACGAAAGGCAGAATGGTCAGGGAGAAGCATAGAAAGAGACAGAGACAGGGACAGAGATGGGGACAATCTGTTAAGCAGTACTGGGTGAATCAGTGTGGAATAAAGACTTTGGTGAATAGTGTTTATGGAATAAAGACTCAAAAGAGAGAGTCAGAGACAGGAGTGGATTCAGAGACAGGTCCCCAGCTCCCTCTGGCATTAGACCTCACTGACCCTGAAGCACCCAGCATGGGGGATGCTGACCAAGCTGGGAGAGGAGGCTGGCAGCAGGGCTAGAAGAGGGAGGGCAGGGTGTGGGCAGGGCTTTGGGCACAGGCTGCTGAGTCCCTGGATGGGCAGGGGAGAGGAGAGGGACACTTGGGCTGCCCTGGTTCTGTCATGGCCTGAGGAAGTAGAGAAGCAGCTCGGGTCATAGAAGGGGTAAGGATGCCGTGTTCTAAGACACCCCACCCCCTCAAGGGAGGGTTGGAATACAGAATACATGGCCTTAGCTTGGTCCTTTTATTGAGAGAGATTATTGCTATAGGGCACATGCGCTTACTGGAGAGACAGAGAGACAGAAAGTGAGAAATCAGCCCCCGGGGAGGGGGATGGTCATGCAGCAATCCCTTCTCCTCCATTCTCTTCTCGGGATCTTGGGCATTCACACACACAGCGTGAGTTTCAAGCCACTGGGTCTGGGACTTGAACTGTGATTGACTACGTGGGCATCCAACTACGTAATTAGTATGTTCATCTGCTGGTCCCTAGCTTGTCCTTTCTAATTGTATCCCCCACCTTATGAACTTCTGTGTTTGCTGCAGGAGTTTATTTCTACAAAATCATCGGGGGATGCTGCTTTGGTATTGTGGACGGATGCCTTCAGGTATTTGTTGGGATGATTTTAGGATGTGTCCTTCAGTAATTACTTCAGGTTTGTCATTTTCTACCTAATCCAGACCACAGGGGAGATATTTTCTCTCTTTCCACCTCTGGATGGATTGGCATGTGTGGCATGCTCATGCTGCATAATGTTGACCTTAGTCTTCTCTGGCTCCCAGTTCCTGCTTCCCCTGACGAATCATTTTGGGATCATTTGCGCCTTCCCATGGTGCTCCTTTGTTCTGCACTGCAGCGTGCCAAGCATCCTTTTCATGTGATTCCCTCTGCTTTGGACCTTGCACCCATGCAGAGCTGAAGTACGAAGTCTCATGGGAGGCTCAGTGTAGTAGATAGCTTTCATACTGCCGCCTTGCTCGGCCCCTTCTCCACCTCAAACTCCCAGACCCCTCTTTTTGCAACTACAGCTTCCCTTCAAAAGCCCTATTCTGTCTTTAATTTGAAGACACAATTTAAGGCCACCCCTCTTCCTCATTTCAGGGTCTACCTTGTCAGGCCTGCAGCATCTTTTTTTTTTTTGAGAAGTTTTTGCTAAAGGGCACATGCACTCGCCAGACAGACAGAGAGAGACCAGAGACAGAAAGTGAGAAATCACCCCCCTGGGGGGATGGCCACACCGCAATCCCTTCTCCTCCGTTCTCCTCTCCGCAATCCCTTCTCCTCCGTTCTCCTTTCGGGAATCTTGGGCACGCACGCAAATGTGCCCGGTGTAAGTTTTAAGCCACCAGGTTTGGGACGTGAACCACGGTCTACTACATGGGAGTCCAGCGACATAGCCATTATGCTAACTGCTGGTCCTGCCTGCAGCATCTTTACCAGACTTGATAATCAGGGGCTACTCAGTCTTTCAAATTTTTAGTAGCACAGAATGAGCGAGGACTATGAATATGAGGCTATCCTGGTTGAGTTTCCAGAAGCAGCTGAAAAGACAATTTCCGTAAAAAATTGATTTAAAGGGGTTCCCTTGGGCTAATCTTGTAGCCCAGTGCTTTAGAGAACTGGATCCTTCAGGGCTGACTGCAGTTTGAGTCCCGGCCCTTATGCTTGAAAAACTGCTGGGCATGTGTCCAAGATCCCTATAGGAGAGAAGAGTGGAGGAGAGGGAAATGTGGTGTGACTATGCCCTTGTGGGGGTGCTTTCTCTCTATTTCTCTCTGGTGAGTTCACACATGCTTTGGCAATTAAAGAAAAAAAGTGGGGCCTGCAGGTGACGTGGAGGTTAGGCAGCTGGATGGATAACTGTGTGGTTCAAGTCCTGGACCCAGCAGCTTGAAAAACACACTGGTACGTAGGTGTATATGCTCAAACTCCTAAGAAGAGAATGGAGGAGAAGGGATTGTGATGTGGCTATCCATCCTGCTTGAGTGTGTGGGGATGATTTCTCTCTCTCTCTCTTTATCTTTCTATTTCTGGCAAGTACACAAACCCTATAGCATAACTTAAAAAATGTCCCCCCCCCAAAAAAAAAAAACTGATTGGGGAGTGGGTGGGAAAGAGAGACTGGAAAAGAAAGAAGACCAAACCTCTACAGTGAACAGAGTACCAGGGAGGGTCACTTTGGTTCAATTCCTAACTAGAACTCTGGAAATATCTTAAAATTGCCCCCACCAGAAAGCATGATTGCTGGAAGATTATGCTTCCCCATGTGTCAATCTCATGCAAAGGGCTGCCCCTGGAGGACATCAATTCCCAGGCACTCTGCCAGAAGACGCAGGTGCAGGCTGTTGGCAGTGAACACACGTGGATAGCCAGCAGGACCAGGGATCCTAGGGGCTGAGGGCACAGCACCGAGTCTTTTCTTCTCCCCTCCCTTAGTCAACTCTCTAGAGAACAATTTTCTTATCGATGTGAGTTCCTCCACTCTGGAGAAAGCAGAAGCAGCTATCATTGAGGATGTGGTGTTGGCTTGCTTACTCAGGAGGGCAAGAGCTATTCTTCCAGGCCCTTCTTTCATTTTCTGACTCCTCCGGGGGGTGTGACTGAGTTTCTCAGAGTGACTGCAGCTGAGCATTCACACCAAATCCATGGATCTGCCCCTCAATAATAGCATGGGGAGCTGTTTGGCTCTCCTTCCAGACAGGGCTTCTCTGGCTGTCTCTGAGACAAAACCCTAGTCCCAAGTCACAGAGCCCAGGTCATGCAGGAGGCAACTGCACTGTCCTTTTCCAGAACCGGGCCCATTCACCCTTGCTTTGGTTGATGCCAGGGCAAGTTATCATGCTGCTTGGAACACAGCTTTACTGTCGGGGCTATCTGCCCACATTGGAAACAAGGTAGTGGGTGTGACTGCTAACGAAATCCTGGAAATAAGGAATTTGCTCTTCTGTTCTTTAGAATCTCAAACTCAGGTGCTGGAGTCAGGCCCACATTGGCTCCTAGAGTCTGAGTAGGGGGCTATGAGTGTGAACTCTGCTACCCTGGGCCATTCCTTAACAGCAAGGAAGAGGTTACCTTTCCCTCTTGTTTCCCTGGAATTAATTCTATCAACAAGGAGAACAGTGTTGAGGGGATTCATCCAGATCTTGGCAATCAGTGCTTTTCCAGAAGACTTTTGCTTACTTCAACTGAGTATTCCCTCAGCTGCTGTTTGCAAAAGTGTCACTGGTCTGAACAGGCACACAGAGAATTCCTAACAACTCACCATGTCACTGAATGCCAGCCAGGACAGGCAGTTGACCAGGCATACAGAGACCTCTGAAAACCAGAGGCTGCCACAGGAATCTGAGCAATGCCCTGCAGACTTCCTGCTGTTTCTGGTGTTTCTTCCTTCAGGTGCTTGTCCAGCTTCTAACATCTCTGCATTGCGGAGTGGCAACATTGGAAACAAGTGTTTATTTCTAACTCCTCTCCAAAACCTCAAAAGGATGTCAAGAAATTGCAATGACAATGAAAAAAAAATGTAAATGCACAAGGACAAAGAGATTTAGAGAGGATACAGGAACAGATGACAAATGTTGAGAAAATTTCAGAAGCTGGAAAGTCAGTGGTAACCGACTTAAAAGAGCAGAGAGTGTTAAAATTTAAACTAAAATGGGGTGGTGCACAATGAAAAGAAGCAAGCAGAGTCCTTGCTGCAGGATCCCAACTGTAATACCCCTGAAGACAGGGATGACAGGTGGGGCTGAAAATAGGAGATATACCTCTGTCTGAGGAGCAGTGAGAGTCCTAGATCTCCATCTTCATTCTATACAGTCAGGTGACTGCCCTATGTACAGTGGAAGAAAATGGGATGTTCAAAAGAAGATGCTCTGGATTCAGAAGTACCAGCCTCAATTGAGAACAGAGAACTATATGGAAAATGAGCACTGAGTGAAAGTCTACATGTAGGGACCAGCAGTTAGCGTAATGGCTATGTCACTGGACTCCCATGTAGCCGATAGAGGTTCTAGTCCCAGACCTGGTGGCTTAAACTCACGCTGGGTGCGTGTGCGTGTGTGTCCAAGATCCCGAGAGGAGAATGGAGGAGAAGGGATTGTGGCGTGGCCATCCCCCCTGGGGGGTGATTTCTCACTTTCTGCCTCTCTGTCTCTCTCTCTCTTTCTGGTGAGCGCACGCACCCTATAGCAAAAACAAAAACAAAAACAAAAACAAAAAACAAAAAACAAAACCTCTCCAAAAAGTCTATGTGTAAATGCTACATCTCTCCACTCTCCCTTCTTAAAATGATGGCAGACAGGGGAACCAGCAGTTAGCGTAATGACTATGCCGCTGGACTCCCACATAGTCGACCGCGGTTTGTGTCCCGGACCCGGTGGCTTAAAACTCACGCCAGGTGCGTGTGCGTGCGTGCCCAAGATCCCGAGAGAAGAATGGAGGAGAAGGGATTGCGGTGTGACCATCCCCCCTGGGGGGTGATTTCTCGCTTTCTGTCTCTATGTCTCTCTCTGTCTGTCTGGTGAGCGCACACGCCCTATAGCGAAAACCTCTCCAAAAAAAGAAAAAAAAAAAAGATGGCAGACAAACTTACACTCTCCACTCTGCGGCTATTGACTAGGTGAAGAGAAAAGATCTGTTAATATTGGATGAAACAATGAAACAGCTGGGCTCCATCTGACCCGGTCCTTACCTGATCACCGTACTCTGAAGTCAGCCCACTGTAGATGAACATCATCCATGCACACAGATCTCTAAGTCAGCATTTTGGTACCTTTACTTTGACGTCTGAGCAGACAGCATCATTGGACAACAGAGGGGAACATCTAACATGAAAGACAGAGACATAAATCAACCAGCCCGCCAACCAGACATAGAAGGGGAAAACAAAGGACTGAAAGTGAAAGAAAATATAAAAATATTCTAGACCTTATAAGTCTGTATCCGTGAAAACAATGAAAACAGAGCAGTAAGCTATAAAAAGGAGCATCTAGAGAATAAGCATTCTTAAAAATTCAAAATATAATTGCAGAAATAAAAAAATCAATAGATGAATTATAGTATAATTTCAGGAATTCTCAGAGGTAGTAGAAGAAAAATAAAATAGGAGAGAAGAGGTAAGAAAATTCAGTACTTAACCCAGAATATCCAATAACTGACTAATTCAAGTTTCAGAGAAAAGAGAGAAAATGAAGAAAAGATATAATCATACTAGTAGATATGACAGACAAAAAAAAAAAAAGAAGAAGAAAGGAAATAAGCTCATGCTCACCATTAGGAGAATAGATTAAATGAATTGTGATATGTTCACATAACAGAATGCTAGGGGGCGAAGGAAAACTAATGAACTATAGCTGTGTGTAGAGGTGACTCTTAGAAATGATGTTGAATGTAAGGCAAGCTGGCACTTCAGAGTGTCATTTCTGTGTGATACCATTTGTATGATGTTCAAAGGCAAGCAAAAGGAAACGAGGTATAGTTTAGCAACATCTATGTGGTTATTGAAACAATAAAGGAAAGAAAATGAATTGGGAAAAAGTCAGTAGAGTGGTTATGGGGCTAGTAGCAGGTGAGGTATGGCAAGCAGTGGGATGACAAGGAATAGAATCAGAAAATACCATGCAGGATGGTCAAATAATTGGTAATAGGCGATTTCCTAAACTGGGTGGTGGGTTTACAGACATTTGTTTTACTATGTTTCATAACCTGTATTACTCATATTATATGTTAAGGGGATCAATCTCTCTCTCTCTCTCTCTCACACACACACACACACACACACACACACACAACTACTGCCTGAATTGAGGACATGAATTCTACATTAAAAGTTCAATGAAATGAGAGAAAAATAATCTACAAATTTCGTAAAGCCTAACTTTATAAAATTTCAGAGCATCATAGATGAAGAGAATAGCACGACAGCAAGAACAACTCACATAAAAAACAAACAAATGAAAAACTTAGAATCAGGGCCAGCCAGGTAGTGTGGTGGTTAAGGTGCTGGATCTCACATGGCTGGCTGATTGTGGTTCAACTCCCAGATCTGGTATACTGAAAACATACCAGGCATGTGTCTTTGTGTGCCCAAAATTCCAAGAGCAGACCGGAGGAGAAGGGATTGCAGCACGGCCTTTTTCCCTGAGGGTGATTTCTCACTTTTTTTTTCCCTCTTTCTCTCTGGTGAGTGCACGTGCTCTATTTAACAACAACAACAACAAACAAACAAACTTAGAATTGGAATAGTGTTGTTCTCATTGGCAAGACTGGAAATAGACAACAGACCTTCTAAGGTACTTCAAGAAAGTTTCTTACATAGAATTCTAGACCCATCAAAGTAGCAAATGAAAGAGTAGAATTAAGATACACTTAGACTAGTCAGACCTCAGAAATGTTAATATCACCCATGAGCCCCTTCTCAAAATGAGAGATTGTGCTTCCCTAAAATGAACCAGTAAATCAAGAAAGTGTTAACCATGAAAACCACGACTCAGAGGTTCCAACATAAGAAAGACACCAAAAGAATACAAAGAATGTCAATTAAGGAAAGTACCGCCCAAACTACTGGAAACAGGCACAGAGCACAATCAATTCAGGTTAGAGCAGGACAAGAGAACCCAAAGAAAAACGTGCAACTGGGGCTGGTAGATGCTGTGGTAGTTGGGGCATTGGACTCCCAAATGGCCAACCACGGTTCAAGTCCTGGACCTAGTGGCTTGCTTTCTCACTTTCTCTCTCTCGCTGTCTGTCTCTATCTGGTCAAATTAAAAAAAAAAAATATATATATATATATATACACACAGACATACATATATAGTGAATAAAGTAAGTCTAAAAAAAAAGAAAATCATGCAACTGATCAAATGCCTAATATTTAAGTGTTCTGAGAGAAGACTTACTGTTCTGTGTGAGAGTTCTGGAAAAACACTAACCAAAAAAAAAAAAAAAAGAAAGAAAAGAAAAAAGAGGCTATTTATCAACCCCAGGGGAAATCAAATGTTGCATAGGAAAGTTATGTAAATACAATATATTATATGACTCATTATGGGGTATATAACATTTACATAATCTTTATAATGCTAAATATTGACTGAAACAGAAATAATGCTATAAATATATCAGAGAAAAAGGAAAGTGAAAGTGTGTTTATAGTAAAAGTGTGTAAAATTTAATAGAATTCAATCTGTACCTTTCATAGTTATAAGAAAATGCCTAATTTCTAAAATGAAAAAAATCAGCCAAAATAGAAGTAGAGGGAACACTCAGCAACTCAACGTATTAGACTATATAACCCCAAACCAAAACTAGATGAAGACAGCAAAAGATAGGGAAATATAGCTGGTTTCACTAAGTAGCACAGATTTAAGAGAGCTGTAAATGAGATGTTAGCAAGCTGAATGCATCAGAACCAAGCTGGTCTTATCTCAGCAACACAAAGGTGGTCCAAATTAAAACAATTTATTAATGTAAGTTATCACAATAATAGACTAATGGAAAAAAACCTACCTCATTATCTTGAGAGTCATAGAAAAGGCATTTGATAAAACTTAGCACTCATTTATGTTTTTTTAATTATTTATTTAATTTTATTTATTAATTCATTTATTTTAATTTGCCCAACGGGTGGGGGGGGGAGGGAGAGCAAGCTGCCAGGTCTGGGACTCAAACCATGGCCAGCCATGTGGGAGTGTCCAGCACCTTAACCACCACGCCACCGCACTCATTTATGTTAAAGACAATTTTAGTCAACTAGGAGAAGAAAGGATTTCTTTAACTTGATGTAAACTCTTTACCAATATATGTAAACTTGATGCACACTCTCTACATCAAATAGAATATATAATGGTGAAGTATTAAAGAATTCATTTGGGGGGGCCAACAGGTGGCATGGAGGTTAAGGCAGCTGGATTCCACCTGGCTGATGGCATGGTTTGAGTCCCAGATTGGTAGTTTGAAAAATATACCATGCGCATGTGTGTGTGTGTGCCCAAAATTCTGAGAGGAGAATGGAAAATGAAGGATTGAGCATGGCTGTACCCCCTGGGAGGATGATTCCTCACTTTTCCGCTCTCTCTTTGTCGCTTCCTGGCAGGTATGCACATGCACCCTTTAGCAAAGACTAAAAAAACGCATTCACTTTAGAATTAGGAAGTTGACAAAGGTGCCCTCTGACATCTTTCTGTTTAATACCGTACTTGGTGGACCTAGCCAGTGCAGTAGGACAAGAAAAAGAAATGATACAAAGATAGTAAAGGGAGAAAAAGCTTACTTGTTCTGAGGGAATGATATTCAGGCCTAGAATTCTAGAACCAACAAACTCAAATGAGAGACAGAATTAACATAAGTTCCGTAAAGATGGTCTCAAAAAATTTATCTTCCATGCATCCTGTACTTAGTTCTTATTGCTTCTAAAACAAATTCACCACATAACATAAAACAACACAAACAACACAACACAAATTTATTATTGTATAATTCTAGAGGTCTGAAATTATTCTTATGAGACTAAAATCAAGGCATTAGCAGGGCTTGGTCCTTCCAGTGTCTCTAGAGGAAAAAATATCTACTTGTCTTTTCCAGCATCTAGAGGCTGCCCACATTTTGTGGTTTGTGGCCCTTTCCTGCATCATTGAAGTACATCATTCCAACCTTGGCTTTTGCCATCTCATCTTATCTCCCTGTTATCATCATTTCATGGGCTTTTCTGGCTCTGATCCTCCTTCTTAAAAGGTCTCTTATGGTTTCATCAGGTATACCTTGATAATGCAAGAAAAGTTCTTCATCTCAAGATCATTAATTTAAAGATTTAACTACAAGATCTGATTTGTTGGGACTGGCAGGTAGTGTGGTGGTTAAAGGCAAAGGACTCCCACATGGCCAACCATGGTTCAAGTCCAGGACCTAGTGGCTTGTTCTCTCACTTTCCCTCTCTCTGTCTGATCAAACTGGTGGCTTGTTCTCTCACTTTCCCTCTCTAAATAATATTAAAAATAATAATAATAATAATAATAATAAAAGTTAAATAAAATAATTCTTTTAAAAATGATCTGATTTGTTATGTATGGTAATATATTCACAGATTTGGGGGATTGGGACATGGATCTCTTTGGGGAGACCATTATTTAGCCTATTACATATCACCTCTGTGCAATCATTCACAGGTTATATGATTGTTTACATAAAAAAAGCCAAGACCATTACAAACAGGTTCTTGGAATTAATATGAGAGTCTAGTGAGGTGATTTTCAGTTGTTTTACTGTGGTTCAGACACAAAGGGTTAGAAAATATAATTTTTAGGGGCCAGCAGGTGGCATGGTGGCTAAGGGCACTGGACTCCCACATGGCCAACTGTGGTTTGAGTCCTGGACCTGGCAGCTTGCTTTCTCACTTTCCCTCTCTCTTTTTCTTTCTCTCAATTTGACCCTCTCTGGTCAAAATAAATAAATACATTCATTAACATTAAGTAAAGTAATTATTTTTAAAAAAGAAAATATAATTTTTAAAAAGATGTTATTTATAACATTAAGAAGGAAATGATAAAGTACCTTCCAATCAGTATTGTGAAAGATGTTTAAAACCTAGATGAAGGGCTGGCAGGTGGCAAGGTAGTTGAAGTGCTGGACTCCCACATGACTGACTGTGCCTGAAAATCACAACAAATAAATATACAAGTAAATATTTAAATGTTAATGTGTTAACTTTTATTGACATATATTAATATGTTAACATAATACATATTTATTAAAAATAAAATAAAAATAAAACCTTTTATGAAAAACTCTAAAAAGTGATATAAAATTTTAAAGATGAGTTAAATAAACAAAA